ATGGCCTCCAACCTAATAGCAATGGCCTCCAACCTACTAGCGATGGCCTCCTACCTAATAGGCATGGCCTCCAACCTAATAGCGATGGCCTGCAAGCTACTAGCAATGGCCTCCAACCTAATAGCGATGGCCTCCAACCTAATTGCGATGGCCTCCAACCTAATAGCAATGGCCTCCAACCTAATAGCGATGGTCTCCAATCTACTAGTAATGGCCTCGAACCTACTAGCGATGGCCTCCAACCTACTAGCAATGGCCCTACTAGCGATGGCCTCCAACCTACTAGCAATGGCCTCCAACCTGCGAGCGATGGCCTCCAACCTACTAGCGATGGCCTCCAACCAAATGGCAACCTACTAGCGATGGCCATCATAAAAATCACATGGGGTTGAACACAGCGGCCGTTCTTTTTGAACCCGACGATTTTTGCGACTTGGAACACTTCGGGGCCTTCCCACCCTCAGCCCAGCCGGCCCAGCCCACCAGCCCCTGATCCGCTCTCCAGTCCCCGACGTTATCAGCGCGGGACACCTCAGGTGAACAACCGCAGTTATCGGCGCGGGGACCCGGTGCGGTGGGGTTCTTCCTCCCGTGACCAAGGTTCGGTATGGAGGTTCGGTTGCAGGGATTGGCTTTTTCTTTGGTTCGGATGCGGATCGAGAGCAAGATGGATAGAATTCATGGAGGTCGAAAACCAAAAGACATCACTTTGCAAGTGTAGGGGCACTGACAATCACAGTGGGGCCAGAAGAGCTACAATGGACTAGAAGACAGGTGCGAGAGTCTTGCCCCTTGCCAGCATGACGCACGCAAGTGCACTGTCCGGTGGGTGCTGGTTGACCAACCCTGCTTTTGCTGTGTGGAACATGTACTGTTCAAGACTGGTTTCAACATGTTTGAACCATATGCATTGTTCTAACGTGGTTTGTCACAACAGGAGCACTGTCCTGTGGGTTCCGATGCTGAGATCTGGGTCCTTTCTCCCCAAGGTACAACAAAAGGACCTGCGTGGTCACCGGTAGCAAGCTGGTCAAGGACAGCTTGCCCGCGCTTTCCTCACTTGAGGTTGATGTGTGGCACAAAGGGGCTTTGACAATTGATTTGAGAGTTCATGGTAGATATTGTAGACGATTGTAGACGCATTTCCTCAAAAAAACAACAACAATGGATTGCAGATCGAGACTCGAATCTCGCAGCGACTCCATGGACTCACCCTGGGACCCCCCCCACACCATCTAGCCTAACCCTAGGGCTCCAGGCCCACCTCCTCAGAAGGTAGTTAGACCACCCGGATGTCCACCTCAACCATCTTCGAACCGGAGGTCGTTGGGAGCGCGGCCATTGCGACTCCGTCGGAACCTCTCCATGACGGTCGGACCCCGACCTTCCTCCAGCGAGCGGGCCGCTTCGGGATGGTCGCCCAAAGCCTGGCCTTCAGTTGTTGAATTCTTGGGGGACAAGGACCAGAGCAAGACACGGAGTTTCATGAGGCGGTGCGGACTCCCTCCATGGAACTCCTGCCGGGATGGGACTCACACTCAAGCCCTCCATATGTGACCCCTGGACCAAAGGATGCGTTCCGATGCGTTCATCATATACTTCTCAAGCCGATTTTCTTGAGGACTTGGGTCGCCAGGGCTGGCGGTTTCAAGACATCATCTGCAGCAAAGCCAACCATCCAGATCTGGAGGCCTTGAATGTCGACCAGTTCTTTAGCATATGGAAGGATGTTTTTTGAAGGCTCTCTGGTGGGTCTGGAGAAAAGTGCCTGATTGCTTGACATGGATGTACAAAAGAACAAAAGTTCTGTTTGACATGCCTGCTTTTTGACGCGCATGCCATGATTACTGTGTGCACTATCTCATGGTTGGCTTTATTTTGCCAGTCGGTCGCACTTTGAGTAGCCAATTGGTGACTAGATTTAGCAAGGTCTAGGGGTAAAGGATGTGACTGTGGATGCCCGGCGATATGTTGGTGTAACTTGGTTGGTCCCGAACCCCCACGTTTAAAGTGCTGCATGCTGAAAGAACGAGCCACCCATGGATAGGTCTTCTTAAGGCCATTGGTGAAGCCTTTTCTTTCTGGTTTTCGTGGGCATTTTTGCTGGTCTGTTGGTGGCCCTCTTCAACAAGCAGGGGACCGGTACGGACCCGGCATGTCGACGTTGAGCCACCCATTGGGGCGCGTGCGCCAGATGGCCCACAGAGCTCATGAGACATTCATGAGAAAACTGGCCCTCTTTTCTATTGTCAAGCTGCGGTCTCGGTATAAGTGTATGTCTTGAGGGTTTTAACTTGGCTTTGCCAAGTTTCCCTTTCTCATGCGGCATTTGCATGAGACTCAGGACTAACATGAACTATAACATCAATTGATTGATCGTACTTGACATGCGGCGAAGAAAACAGTCAGACAAACACTTAATTTCGATTGCTTGCAGCACATGTTCTTATTTGTGGAAGTCTGGAAGCGCTCCGCTTCCTACAATCCATCGCTAGTAGTTTGGAGGCCATCGCTGATAGAAACAAAGAAGAAAGAA